CGGACACGAGCGGCTTCGGCGAGAAACTAAAAGTTCTGATGGCCGGCGCGAATTGTCACCCAATGTGTTTATGGCACGATTAGATTAACGTATTTGATAATGTTCAGGCTACCAGTGCGCAGGCGCGTGTAGGTCCAAATGACTTCATTCAGAAAAAAATTAAATAATGCAAAAAAAAAAAACAAATCGCGGAAAACATCTGATTTCCCATCGAAATCAATGCAGCGTTCTTATTGAGGAACTGCCCCCACCAGCGATCAGCTGTCGAGTGATTTATCGAAGCACTGCCATCTCAATTGCGGAACAAAATCTGCGTAGACTTTTTATACCCTATATTAGATTTGTAGATGTTGCGTGGCCCGCTACTCCGCCCCAGACCACCCCGGAGATGCTCTAGACGGACTGTTCATCAACAATGAGTAGCACGAGAGCAAATCGGGCAAAACATTTCAAACCATTCAAGCTTCATTCAAGCTGACTACGCCGTGGAGATGGCCCATTTCGGCCTCTTCTTCAACATGGGCCAGTGCTGCTGTGCCGGCTCTCACACTTTTTTGGAGGATAAGATCTACGACGAATTCGTGGATCGCAGTGCACAGCGCGTGAAGAGGACCGTGGGCAATCCCCTCGACCTAAACACCGAGCAGAGTGTCCAGGTCAACCACGAGCAGATGAAGAGCAGGGCGCCAAGCTGGTGGCCTTCCCGGCTACTTTGTCCAGCCAACGGTGTTCGCCGATGTCCTGGACAGCATGACCATTGCGAAGATATTCGGTCCCGTCCAGCAGCTGATTCGCTTCACGATGCTCGACGAGGTCATCGAGCGTGCCAACAACTCGGAGTACGGCCTGGCCGCCGCGTCATTGTGAAGGTTCCACAGAAGAAGGAGGGACTGTCCTGGACAGGGGCTCATTTTGTTTAAGTGCTATTCATTTCGATGTCAACCTCTATGGTTAGCATTAAGCTCACATTTACTCGATCTACATTTCTATACAGATCAATTCGTAAAACTCTTTTGAAATACAATATTTTTCCGTGGGTGGCTTGCGAAAACTTCTTCAAGCTCCATTACGTTCGCAGAAAATTAAACTGAACGCGGTCGAAGTCTGGTTGGAAATGGCGACCGTCAAAGTGCAGGTGTTCATCTGGTCAAATACCACACAAATACCACACAGTGGGCAAAAAACGGTCAATCCTGTCCGGTTTTTCTCATGTGTGGTTTTATTGCCAACAATATATATCTAATATATTATATGTGTAATATATATAATATATATGTATAGCAGTAATTTAAAAATTGTTTAAGCTTGACCCACTGTGCGGCAGTTAGATCAGAACTCTTGCCTCCCTCTCGCTCTCATTGCAACGAAAGGAAAATTTGCAATCCTTTTTGTGCTGCTTCCGAGCTCGAAGCTGAAGAGGAAACAAAATGGTGAAAAACGACGCCGCGGATACAGCAAATCAAAGTGGGACCATGGACGAGTAAGTTGTGTGGCCGATTTCTGCGGTAAAAATTCGAATAAAATCTATTTAAATGAACCTTTTTCAGATTGGAAATTAAAATTACGTACAAAAACAAAGTGGCGACGCCGGAAGAGCCACTTGGGTTCTTCCTCGGGATTCAAATGAAGCAGAAGACGCCGTCAAAGGCGTCCTCGTCGGCTTCTGCTGCGCAGCAAGCTGGGAACGCCACCGCAATCCGGCAAATCCAGTCTTCTGCTGCGCAGCAAGCTGGGAACGCCACCGCAATCCGCCAAATCCAGGCTTCTGCTGCGCAGCAAGCTGGGAACGCCACCGCAATCCGCCAAATCCAGGCTTCTGCTGCGCAGCAAGCTGGGAACGCCACCGCAATCCGCCAAATCCAGGCGCGTACTCCCTCATTTTCGCACAGTGCAGGGTCTGGAGTGCGTAAGCCCTCGCCGACTAGCACGGCTGCCGTCATTTTAAGAGCAGTTGGGGCGACGGCACTGCTGCAGCGCGTGGGCCGACCGGAGCCCCTGACTCCGAATCTAAGAAGAACGGCCATAAATGCCATCGCCGACCATTTCGTTATAAAAAAAATTCCACTGTCGATAAGAAACTGCCGGAATTTGGAGAGCGAACTCCTGAGTCTTTTTCCCGGGGAACAGGAAAGCGACTACAAAGTGAGCGATCGGAGCCGAATGTATGTCAGGTACAACAACAGGAAGCGGCTAGAAAAGCACCATGCTAATATACGACGGAAGCTCATCTGGACCCCAACGACGACTGAACCGTTGTCGCCGAAGACATCGGTGGCCTCAAGGTCCCAGACACTGCCGGTTGCGTTTGACGAGGTGCCAGACGCTAGAGAGAAGTAGAGCCAACAAAAAATAATGGATTTTTCAAAATAATCCTTAAAACAAAAAGTATTTACTATATATTCATTCTACGCTTTAAGTCCTGAAATAAAGCTTTTCTGTTATTACTTTTAATTCCATTAATATTAAAGGGGCTTGGTACCTACCGACTGAATAAACTGCCTCTAGTATCTTATGCCATTTGAACACAGTTTCGATCAACATAAGACTTTTCAATATCAACTTACAAAATCCTAAAATAAATATGAATATTATTTTTAAAATCAAAACAATCACTATATTATTGCTTTTATTTATTTACAGGTGAATTTATTGCAGATTGATTGCTCTTGCCCGCATCTGTTAATTTAATTTGAATTTGAATTTTAACGGGGGTTATAGTGGGCCTATTGCAAGGTCTATCGAATGTGGGGTAAGGCTGGCACTCTCTCGTTTTCTTTTTCTCCCCTTACCTTCCATGTAATATACCTTGGGACATTACAGCTGATCCGTGTGTGAGTATTTATTTTTATTTAAATGCGGTTCATTTTGAACTATAAAGCATATTAGCTTACCAAAGCCGTTTTTGATGAAATTGAAATGATCTTCATTTTGTCATAGCTCAAATGGATCATAGGCTAGACCTTTGAAACCTGAACCAACTTCTCGTTTCCATTATGTGTGGCTGCAGCGCATACGGAATTCGTTGCTGGCCGGACACATTCTCTGATTCACGTCCCCCTAACACGCATCGAAGTGGAGTAATAGAACAAATAAATATGCTTTCGGACGTTTCTTGGCATTCCTGTTGATACACTTGGGCGTACAGTGTGCCCGTGGAACTGCTTCATCGCTCAAGATAAACGTAATCAGCCATATTTGTTTTGCTCGTATTGCTGTTTAATATCTCTACTTTGATAGGTGCCAATAGTTCAAGGCAACGGCAACGAGCGTCAAAGAAATAGGAGCAGCAACCATGTCAGCGTCAAAGACTCAAAAGTTCTACAAATTGGACATAAACCGCACAGAATGGGAGATCCCTGACATCTACCAGAACCTGCAGCCCGTGGGTTCTGGTGCCTATGGGCAGGTCTCGAAGGCTCTGGTTCGGGGAACCAATATGCATGTGGCCATAAAGAAGCTGGCACGCCCTTTTCAGTCGTCCGTACATGCGAAGCGTACGTATCGAGAGCTGCGACTGCTGAAGCATATGGATCATGACAATGTGATCGGACTGCTGGACATATTCCACCCTCATCCGGCGAACACGTCGCTGGAGAGCTTTCAACAGGTGTACCTGGTCACCCACTTGATGGATGCGGATCTAAACAACATCATACGGATGCAGCACCTGTCCGACGATCACGTACAATTCCTGGTCTACCAGATACTCAGGGGTCTAAAGTACATTCACAGTGCCGGTGTTATTCATCGCGACCTGAAGCCGTCCAACATTGCAGTCAACGAAGACTGCGAGCTGCGTATTCTCGACTTCGGACTGGCGCGGCCAACAGAGAACGAGATGACCGGCTATGTGGCCACACGTTGGTATCGGGCCCCGGAGATCATGCTCAACTGGCAGCACTACAACCAAACGGTGGACATCTGGTCGGTGGGCTGCATAATGGCAGAGCTGATCACACGACGCACTCTCTTTCCGGGCACCGATCATATTCATCAGCTAAATCTGATCATGGAGATGCTGGGCACGCCGCCCGACGACTTCATGAAGAAGATCTCCTCAGAGAGTGCTCGGAATTACATTTTGTCACTGCCGCCCATGAAGAGACGAAGCTTTAAGAAGGTGTTTGAAAACGCTAATCCGTTGGCCATCGATTTGGTGGAGAAGATGCTCGAGCTGGATGCCGAGAAGCGTATCACAGCCGAAGAAGCCTTGGCCCATCCGTACTTGGAGAAGTACTCTGAGCCCAGCGACGAGCACACCTCACCGCTGTACGATCAAAGTTTCGAGGACATGGATCTCCCAGTGGACAAGTGGAAGGAACTCATTTACAAAGAGGTCACAAACTTCAAGCCGCCACCGTCTTTCGCTCAGGTTCTACAGGAAATGAAATGATAATCGAGCAAACAACAAAGCAACCATCAAGGTCTTTAAGTATTATTCAGGAGAGGATTTCTATTTTTTATACCTATGCAACAAAGTTGTTTAAATTATGCCTTTTGTACTCAAAATGTACCAAATCTTAATGTTGACTAATATTTTTGTGTTGTATATTTACAAATTTGTTATTGCTTGCCACTAATCTATTCTTTGCATTGTATATTAAATGCGTTTTTTCGTAAAAGTTTAGTCATTTCAAGTCATCACGAAATTCAACCGCATAAACGCCATCGATGGGGCAGGTTTGCCCGATCTGACAGCTCTGGTAGTTCAGAAATACTCTATGATATATACATATAGATAAGACTTTTTAGTATGCAATTTCGAATTTAACTGCAACGCAAGGGTGCTGATAAATGCTCAACAGAACAAGATCTTTGCTTTGTAAGTATTTCTGGCAGTATGTTTTATCATTTCCTGCCCCATACCAATTCCGGCCATAAATCAGGAGTGAATAATGCACCGATTAGACTCCACTTATCGTTTGATAAGAAATGTATTGAGGAAAGCGGGTGAGCACCATTTTAAATCAGTTTATTTTTCATCGCCTCAGGGAACGCTACGGTGGGCAGCAGTCCAACGAGTACAAATAAAATGTCGAAATTCACAAAATTCGTAATGGATGAGAAGGCATGGGAGGTACCAGATGTATATGAGATCGAACGGCTTCTTGGCGCTGGATCCTTTGGCCAGGTTTCAAAAGCGAAATTGCGGGGAGGCGATGTGAATGTTGCAATCAAGAAACTACTGCAGCCATTCGAAACCGCAGAGCATGCCAAACGAGTCTATCGCGAAATACGTCTGCTGAAGCATATGGATCACCCGAATGTGATTAGTTTACTGGACGTATTCCATCCTTCTTCGCCTTCTCCCACTTTGGAGAACTTTCAGCAGGTGTATTTAGTGACTCATCTAATGGATGCAGACCTTCATAAAACCATACGGTCACAAAAGCTCTCGGACAATCAAATTAGGGTGATCCTCTATCAGATACTCAGGGGCTTAAAGTATATTCATAGTGCCGGAGTCCTTCATCGCGACCTGAAGCCTGGAAACATTGCTGTGAACAAAGACTGTGAGCTGCGTATTCTGGATTTCGGCATGGCACGATTGAACAGTAAAGATATGACAACTTATGTGACGACGCGATGGTACCGTGCCCCAGAGATCCTCTTCTGCTGGAGAAACTATAGCAAGGCAATTGATATGTGGTCTGTGGGCTGTATCTTTGCCGAAATGATTACGGGGCGACCGCTCTTTCCAGGAAGGGACTATACAAATCAACTTGATTGCATAATCGATGTAATGGGCACACCATCGGACGCGTTCAAAAGCAAGATTGACTTAGAAAGTGCTCGCACCTACGTGGAATCCTTACCCAGGAGGACCAAAAGCGATTTTACGGAACTTTTCGGTATGGTAAATTCTCAGGCCGTGGATTTAATAGAGAAAATGCTAGTAATGGATCCGGAAAATCGCATAACCGCCGATGAAGCATTGAGACATCCTTTCCTGAAAAACTTGGTGCAGCCTCAACACAACGACGAGGACACTGCTCCACTTTACGATCAAAATTTTGAGAACATGGATTGGCTTTCTGTTAAGTGTTGGAAGGAGCTTGTGCTAAATGAAATCATGAATTTCAGACCTCCTCCCGCCTACGGAAAAGTTTTGAATAGCGCAATGTGTCAAGGGGATCAATTGTGATATTAATTTTGATAAGATATACATTGTATGTACTTTTTATATTTCCTTTTTTTTAATAAACCAGTCGTACTCTACTGTATAATCGCAATTTGGCGTGCACTTGGTTGGTTGGGAGAGTGATGACATTGATAGCTATCCTATCAAGAAAAACTCGGACATGCAGTCCATACGGATACGGCAGCATACGAGAGGACATACGCTGAGGGGCTCATGATGACGCGGCGCGAGCCGAACGACACAGATTCGTTCTTTGTATGAACTGGCAAATTCAAGTGAAATGGCAGTTTGTTGGAATACCCTCAACGGAAACCACCCTATCTGGCATCACTGCCGACAGCTGATTGGATTGTTTTGTTGTGAAAATTGCTTGTCGTCGGCCGCTAAAGTAATGTTAGGTCTTCAAATTGTTTTAAGAAGCTGCCGTGCGGCTCAAAAGGGTTCCATCAGGAAAATCTCCGCTCTTTACATAACCGGCGACAAGGCTAACGAAAACTATGCGACTTTGCAGCCGTATTTGGACTTCGCCGGAACCTTCGACGAGGCCGCGTCTTTGGAGCAGAGTATCGCCAGCCGTGGCCTGGACATCAGTGTGGAAAGTGTGTTCCGCAAGTACCAAAAGTACCAGACACACCATGAGCAACTCCAGAGGGTGGTGGGAGAGCGTGAGGCAGTCACCAAAAATCTCAAAGAAGTAACCAAAAAGGGAGGCAGCGAGCTGCAGATTGAAGAGCTCAAAGAGCAGGGAAAAACGTTGCGCAACGATTTGAAAGCCCTCAAACAGGCACTTTACCCCATCGAGGATGATTTTATACATGATTTTCTGCATTTACCCAATCGTCTGCATGCCCAGTGTCCCACTGGAGACCGGGAGGTACTGCTCTATCGTCATAGCCTGCCGGGCAGCACTAGCAACGTACCATCCCATTTAGAACGGAAAGATCTTATTCACTTTGTGGATAATAATCGCTATTACATGATGGAGCAGGCAGCTCATTTTGATGTCAATGCCATGCAGTCGTTGGGCCGCTATTTCGTCACCAAAGGAGACTTTGTTCAAACCGCCAATCCTGACTTTGTGCGCTGTGTTCTTTTGGAGGCCAACGCCACGCCCTTGGCCGACTATCACATGGTCAGGGAGGAGCATCTCCAAAACAAGATAAATACTGCTTACCTGACCGGTGGTGCCGCTTTCGAGAGCTATCTGGGGGCCATGACTAAGCTTTGCGTCTACCCCTCTGTGCTGCCCCTGCGCTATGTCTGCTGTGGACGCAGCTACAATCGCGCCGAAGCTCAGCATTACGGACCTACTCCCAGTCTCTATACAGCCACCCAAACAAATGCTGTGCAAAGCTTTGTGGCCACCCAAACGGCGGACGAAGCAAACGCTCAGCTGGAACATATCCTGAGCCTTGCTATCGACTTCTACAAGGCCCTAGACGTGCCCTTTCGCATTGTGTATGCGCCAGCGGCAAGCCTAACTCCGTCGGAAAGCCTGCGTGCGGTCATCGAGGTATATGCCCCGTCGCTTCAGCGTTACGTCTGTGTGGGACGAATCAGTAACTACGGAGACTTTGTGTCAAAACGCATTCTGTTTAGTACGAGGCGGGAAAAGCACTACGATTTCTTGCATTTAGTTGGAGGACCCGTGCTATACACCACGCGACTGATAGCGGCGTTGCTGGAACACAACATACGCCTGGTGGATTGCAAACTGGTGGGGGCCTCCTCCTCCGGTGGGAAACCTACGATGGAGCAGGATCTGCAGCAGTTCAAGGACCTCTTCACATAGAGATCGAGAGAGGGATCTTTGTTCAGTTTGTATGTGGTGTGCTTAGGTCTAACAATAAGTAAAAAGTTAAGTTTTACATACAATTATTTACAATCTAGTATAATCTCATGGTCTGGGGGGGTGCGTCTGAACTCTCTCCATCGCTTACTCTGGCTGAGGCGTTGCTTACTCGCCGCCGCACTTGATCACCAGCTTGGGAAAACTCTTGCGGAAATTCTCACACTTGGGCGTTGTGAAGGTGAATACATTCCTCGTTTCATCCAGCACAGAGTTTGGACTTGATCGCAGGGCCTTCAGCACGTACGTGGTGTTGTATTTGAGCTTGCTGAACTCCAGAGAATCTTTCTGCAAAAGAATGCCAAAAATATCGTATTTATTTGGGTTATTTTGGGTTCTGTGCAAATCCTTGATCTTTGTCCCTTCCACCTAGACCTTTAGGATCGAATTTCCTAACAACAATTAAACCACGTACGTGGCGCTGTAAAAACGTGTCCAACGCCAACGAACATGAATTCTGCCATGTAAGAAATACTTATAGGCAATGTGCTAATCACTGGGCTGGCCATCGATGGGGCGGCTGGCTTTCCGAATGGCACGAACCCGGCTAGCGGTGGCTTTCTGTGGCTCGTGGCAGCCGTCAGCATTACTTGTGTGTGTGTGTGTGTGTGTGTGTGTGTGGGTGTGGTTGAAGTGCGGGTACGGTACTTACTTTTGCTCGAATCGCACTGAACTCGCGCTGTTCGCAGTTGGTTTCCTGGGGACACAGTTCATAGACCCTGTAATCGAATGCGGCATCAGAAAAGTGTGTGTGTTTTTTTTGTTTTGTTTTTTGGGGCAGAAATGTTTACAAAAATCATTGCATAACATGTGTACGGAGAGCACGGGCACACGAGCACACGAGCACAGCATGAGAGCATCGCTTACTTCTCCTTGTGTGGCTGGAATCCCAAAATCTGCACAATCATGCCGAATTTCCGGTTCAGCCGGAAACGCACATCATGCGAGGTGGCAGCGGCGCTGGTCCGATTCACGACGGGTGCAACTTCATTGATGTTGACCGGCGTGGAAGTTCTCTCCGTGCTGGTGCTGGTGGTGGAGCTCACGCTGGAGCTGGTGATGTGATGATACTTGCGCTTAAAGCTGTGCGAGGAGCACTGCAGTGGAGCATAGGGCTCGAGGGACTGCAGCGTGGTGTTGAACAGCAACGACTTCTTGTCGGATTTCAGTCGACGGGAGCCGCTGTAGGAAATGGCCTGCACCTGTATGTAGTACGAGGAGTTGGGCAACAGTTTCCTGATCTCGAACTGGTGCGACTGTGGGGATCGCATGACAAGAATTATTAAACAGGAACTTTGCCGAGCTGGAGTCGTGTTTTGGGCAGACTTACATCCTTCACATATGTGTCCTGGGTGATCATCGATGCCTCTGCACTGTTCACATAGAGCGACCAAATGATCTTGTACTTTTCCACGGGCAGATTCGACTTGGAGGGGCACCACACCAGCTTGGCGTTCATGAAGCGTCCATCGTACTGCTTAGATATAATCTTCGAATCGTTGGGGGCTTTGGGGGGCTTCGGATCTGTGAGAAAAACCATTAGCATTAGCCGAGGAGGGATGGCGTGATGGGATTATGGCCACACTTACTGCCAGTCGAGGAGAAGGGGCGCGTGGGCTGGGAGTAGCCGCGGAAGCCAAACGCATTAACTGCCGCCACCCGCACCTGGTACCAGCGACCCGGGCGCATGTTGAAGAAGACATCCGTGCTGTGGGTTGGAATTAGGAAAGCGAATGGAATCATCGATTGGTGCCGACTGGGCCGTGGGTGGGTGACCTACAGTTTGCTCCGCCCGCTGTTCGTCTCCATTATCTTCTCCACCTTCTGCCACTGCCAGAGGCCGAGCTTGCGGGGCGCAAAGAAGCGGCCGATGTGGGAGCGCACCTCCACGTGGAAGTAGTAGACCAGCAGCGACGACTCGATGCGCAGCTCCACCTTGTGGCCGCGCGACATCTTGAAGTACTGGATCCTGGGTATCGGCGGCAGTTCCGTGTCATTCCGCACCCCCACGGGATCCACGCACACCGGCCCGCAGGCGGACACACAGCACTTCTGCACATCGGCACAGTCGTGATCGTAGACACAGTTGTCCAGGCAGGATAGTCGCGGCCGTGTCTGCCTGCCCAGGGTGGGACAGCTGCCGGCGCGCGGTGCCCGCAGCAGCTCCAGGATGCACTGGTCCAGGCACCGCTCCCGCTCCGCCCGTGTGCTGGTGGTGCTCCCACATCGCGCCAGACACTGCAGCTCTATGATCTTGTCCTTAATGTCGATGCTGTCGCGCAGCCAAGGCGCTCGCTGGCGCTGCACCTGGTGGCTCGCGGTGGCCGAGGGGGAGCAATGCCCCAGCAGGAGCAGCAGCAACAGAAGAGCCAGCAGGGCCGCCTTCAGGGAGTGCACTTCCATGGTGATGATGCCCCTATGCTGCTCCGACGATTGCAATCTGCAAATGATTCGCCAGGTAAGTTCTCTTTTCATCTCATCTCGTTCGACTCTTGGGACATTCCGTGCGTTCATAATTTGTGTGCCCCGCTGCCGATCATCAGCATGCCACATGCTGCATGTTGATTATGCTGGAAGGATCGTTCGCTATGCGATGCCTTACGATCCGAACCGGTTTCACCCATTTTGCATGACCAACTAACTAATCATTCTTCGCATTTGTGCGCAGCCGCCCGGGCCCCCGCCCGCCGCCGAGTCGAAGCAATGAAAATGCAAAAAATACATAAATGTATCTCAAGTGCTTGACAGGACTTCAAAGCGCGCATCATAGTGCGTGCCACGAGAGAGGTATCGGACGGACAACGAGACAGAGAGGCTGCGGCTGCCCCATTCCAAGACCCACAGATTTATACGACTCTCCAGTCACCCTGCACATGATATTGGCTACTCCCCTGAAGAATGACGAAAGATTTCGATAATCAAGCAATGATTGAGCCTATCCCGGCGTACCTGTTCTGCCAAAGACGAGACACAATGAGCGCTCAGTTTTGTTGCCATCCCATATCACATATAGTCCTAGAAGCCAAGCCAAAACATTCAAGCCCTAACAATCGATATGCCCGGGTGGATTCCATGTAGGGTATTTAGCACGCAAATGGGAAACTAATGTTTTATGGTATGGTCGATGGTCGATGGTCGGGTCGGTCGGTCGGTCGGTCGGTCGTCGGTTTATGTGGCGGCTGTTGTTTCTGTTGCTGTTTTCTGGCTGATGCGTGTGAATGTGCAACCAAGAGAAAATACGACTACGACGAATGTGCGAGTGCTGCAAGTGGATGTCACCACATCCACATCCACAGAAAGAAGCACCACCGCAGAAGCTGAAGCAGCAGCAGCAGCCTCAGCAGCATCATCATCAGATCACATCACAGAAGCCTAGCCAGCAGATGCCGCACATACCAAGGCGATACAGACACTCTGGGAGCAGAACAGAACAGCACAGCACAGCACAGCACAGCACAGCACAGAGGCAGAATGTGGGGATAAGAGAGTAGGAGCAGCGCAACAGTGGTACGGTGGTACAGTGGTTGCTTGGAGGAGAGTGGAAGTGGAGTGCCTGAGATGCCACCGACTCTGACACACAGAGGCCTGCGGCCTGGGGCGGCCTAACTGAGGGACATTAAGCGACAAATGAATGTGCGCGCGACGATCATCGGATCGACGAAAGACGACGGACGGCAGAGGACAGAAGACAGAAGACCGACCGACACCGAACGTCCAAGAAGAGACGAGATGAAATGCACCACAAGTTCCGCGGAACGAAAAATTTGCAACAAAATTGGGCAGTACACTCGTAAAGCTATGGCGACCATGCAGCCTGTCATATGAATGGGGTTCGTTCTCTGGATGTGTGCGGAGTGTAGAATGGTGCGGTGGGGGAGGGGAGGGCAGGGGAGGGGAGAGTGGGTTGAATGGATGTGGATGTGGCTGTGGATGAGGGGCCGGTCTGATGCTGATGAGACAGTTGGAGCGGAGTGGAGCAGTAGGCATGCCCCGCCATTCTGGCTGCCGTTGCGTAGTGGCAATTAATTGCTTTTAACGATTCAAAAATTCAAAATTACATTTTATGCTTCACGCACACCACAAAACATCACAACGGGGGGAAAGGAGAACACATACACGCACATAGATACATATATACTTGTATTCAGGGTGACTCTGGTAGAGGTGGTAGGTGGTAGGTGGTAGGGGGCAGGGGGTCTAAGATCCGGATCGATTTCGTTGACGTCGTTGCTGTGATAAATCGTTGGTGGTTGCCGTTCCTCCTGCTGCTGCTGCTGCTGCTGCTGCTGGTGGCTCTGGCGTTGCTTTTGTTTTGCCTCCAGTGTTGCAGCATTGCCTCCAGCTCCGTCGTCTCCATCTGCCTCGTTCTTCATGCGGAGCTTAGCACAATAGCAATAGCACGAGGCTCGACGCTTTCGACTCTGGCGACAATGGCCAGGCAAACCACCAAGACCCAGACCCAGACCCAGGAGCAACAGCAACAGCAACAGCAGCACCAGCAGCGGCACCAACAGCAGCAACTGTGTGTAATATGATGCAAATCGTTTAACACTTTGACCAACAGCAGCAGCAGCAACAACACTAAGAGTGCAAGATTAGCTCTTGGGAACCGAAATATTTGATACCCTTGCAGATCTTATGGTAGATATACTCGTCTGAACCTCCACTAGAACACATTCGTAGAATGGTGTTGATCAAATTTCTCGTAAGCGAGCGGCTACAAATGACAGGAAATTGGTTGGTTGGGATGGTTGGGATTCTAGTACAGATCTTAGGGATTGGTTGCATAATTGTCTATCGTTAATTTCTTCATTCACTAAAACTTTAATATTTATCCATACATCCATACATATGTACTATATGAAACCAATAGATCTGCTCCGAGAGTGGAAGTTGTAAAGATTTAAATTAAATATTTTCATATTTAATATATATATATTCTGCTGGGCTCCGTTTTGGCTTAACACGTACTTAATCCGCAAAAGTAAGTGAAAAACGGAGCCTGCCTGATTATCATTGTTTTAAAGAGTTTCTTATTTATATTTATATTAAATATGGGCCGTATTAAATAGAATATTTTGTGAATTGATCTCCTGTATAACTGTCTGTTTTAATTTAAATATTCTAGTGTTTCTGTTTAATATGCCATTTTCCTTTAAGTATATGGCACCTAATTACAATATGATATAGAAAACCGATCTAAACGCTTCGAGCTTCGAGATTTCAATCATAAACGGTCAATAAAAACAGATGAATGCATAGAAATCCAGTCTGAACGGTTTTCTCGAGGCACACATGTCTGAAATACTTAATTTTCCTGCGTTTCAAACTATATTCCACATCCTAGTACCCTTTAATAGAGTATAGGTTAAACAACAAGCAACGTCATCGTATTGTGGTTCTGCTGAAGTGCATCGGTAGTTCCAGAAAAAACGCTTTGCGTCCGAGCCCTTAGGGAAAGAGAAGGAAGTGAGCTTGAGAGTAACAAAACACCCCAAAGCGGAACAATCATCAATTTCGGCGCTAAGATGCCTTTGAGCAGAGGGGAGGATCTCAAATTAAAAATAAAACTTCAATGGGGTTCTTTCGCGGGACGGCAACGAACAACGGGCACCAGCAAACAATTCTGAATCACAGTAGATACAGAACCAATTATTGTGGAATATAATCAGAAAAAAAAACATTCGAGGGATAACCCAGAAACTCCAAAGAAAAGAGTCAATTTGTATATTTTCACACTAAATTCTTGACTTACAAAGAGGAGGCTTTGGAAATTAAACCTATTTGCGGATATGGTAGGATCCTATATCATCTAATATACCCATTCCCTTTGATACATGAGTAATGGACGTACAGCACCACTCCCCATACCCGTGCAGGGCGCTTCATTCATTAATTCATTCATTCATTCAGAGTTATATGAGATGCGGACTTTCCCACAAACCATTTGTTACCTTGATCCTGACCACGTTTTGGTACTAGCTGAACAGAAAATGTACAAAGCACCCAACCGAAACGGAGCTTGACAAAGCGGAGGAGCATTTGGATGTGGTGTTTCAAGTCAAGGCGGTGTCAAGTTCTTAGCTTCAAGGTTTTCCGATTTGTAGAGAAATATTCGATGCGTAGGGTATGACCACTAAGACTCTGCCCTGCCGATTGTCAACATCAAATCCCACCCATCCTCTGTCTGCAGTACCCCGGTCCGTTGTCCGCTGTCCGCCTGTTCGCGTGTCCGCCACGATTGCCGCAATTAGCACGCAGGCAATCTCATTTTACGCCGACCAAAAATTGCGCAAATGGCAACCGAACGAGAGACGAGTGCGATACATTTTTAGGTATGTACTTACAATAATGGAAATGCTTTCGGGGAACTTCAGCGGCACTTGCTCTGGCTCCACCCACACCGAATCGAATCCCCGTTCCGATCCGATGATCCACTAAGAAACCCAGGCGGTTCGAGGCGGTTTAACTTTAAGTTCGAGTTCTTTGATCTTATTATTTAATTTACGCCCGATATTTGCCCGGCTCTGTTTTTTTGTTTGTGTTTCTGTTTCTGTTCCGTTTTTCGATTTGCACTGTCCCGGTGTCCGTTCCGCTCCTTTTGGAGCACTGGTGTATGGGTGTCTTCTGGTGCCTGGTGTCTGGTGCCTGGTCTGGTGCTTAGTGCTTGGTTCGGGTCGACCGTCGCGTTGCAACCGCAAAGACTGACTGACACACTGAACGGACACACCGGGGCCGGCCGCCGGACCGGGCCCCAAACGCAATTGCAGGGGCGACCCCCTGTGCATCTGGATGCTGAACGGTGGGGCTCGGTCGCTCTTCGGCTCTTCTTCGGCTACTCTCCCACATACGCTTCGGGGGCTGCCTGCCTGCCTGCCTGCCTGCCTGCACGAGTGTGTGCTCCACTTGTAGTGCCGTGCTCTGCTCTCGACCGCTCTCTGTCTCTCTCTCTCTTTTTCCTCTCTCGCTGTCGCTCAGTGTGCGTGAGTCTACGACGCCGAGTCTCAGCAGGAGCAGCCGAAGCAAAGATCTCGTGATTGTTATACCCTTGGCAGGGATGGGTATTTCTGTATGACCGATCAGCACCACCAAGATAGAGTCAGAGTCGATGAAGATACAGTCCATTAGTTTTAAAATTTTAAATCGAAATTCCTCAATAAATGGATTACTTCAATATCTCGTTTTTTTATTCCAATCTGTAACTAAATACATCCATCAGATATAATCAAAATCTGAACAAATGCCAGAAACGATGGGTATCAAGTCGTTGTCCCTCGAATCTACCCTCCTTTCTTATTGTTTTTCCGGCCTACTCACTCGCCCGATCTCGCTCTTCCCGCTGTACTCTCTGTCTCTTCGCCCTGAGTTTCATTCAAATTTCATTAAAGGATGCACACACACGCAGACAGTCACAAATTTCACTGTAGTTTTGCATGCACCAATTACTTTATTTTATCTGTACGTATATCGTATACATATGTACGGTACGAGTCGTATTCACACTGTGATCAGCACTGGGACCTCAAAGCATATGAGGTTCTGATTGCACTCATCCTTGGATTCCCACAGCATGCTGCCACGCATCTGAAAGGGGGGAGAAGGGAAGAAAAACTACCTTAATGATCCGTGCGAATTATGAGATTGGATTGTGATCTTTACTTACCACCGGCAATGTTTCGTTCACAAATATATTGGCCCAATAGGTCTTGCCATCGCTGGCACTCATGATACAGTCGTGATCGCCATCGCATGGATCCGGTGATATGGCCGCCTGGGTCTTGATATAGTTGAACACCCAGCGGACTTCGTGCTTCAGGAAGGTGACGCCATTGCCTGTGATATGTACATTCGATTAGTCGGAGGTGAAAACTTGACGGACTTCCATTCTAATTGGAAGGGTATTTCATATTTATCGCAATTATTTTTGCCAATCTTCGCTTAAGCCCAATCCTATGTTCACACTCAAAAAAATCTGAAACGTGCCGAGATCCATTCATCTGCATAGATACTCGCACTGATTTGTGCTGACTAATCAAAATATCATTAGGAACAAATTAGTTTATTTTATTTATGAATCGATATCGCTATCTCCTCCTCCGAGGGCGGTACAGAAGTGAAGTCATATAATGCTAAATTGCTCAAATTATTTTGTGATGTGATTTACAATCTTGGATCAATTACTTTTATGGCATACACGAATTATTATCGCCTGGTTCACACACTACCGTATCCGTACACGTCTACTTCCCTGACTACAATAAAATATTTGTACAATCTCTTCGCCCGCGCAGATCTATTTTTATTTCCGAGTGGTTTTTGGTCTCGCTCGTACATTTCATAGTACATTTGGATGCATAGGATCGCGTGTTATCAGTGGGGTTTTAGTCTTACCGTTATCATCGAAGAGCACCGTCACCTTAATAATCGCATTCCGTTTCATAGAGCAAGGTAATGTTGAGCAGCTTTCGATGTCCAGGTAGTTGACTCTGTACAAAGAACCTGCGAACAAAAATCAGAACAAGATCAGAATGAAAAAATCGTTTTGAGTGAGGAATCTTTCCAGCTGAATATTATAATAAGTTGTTCAGAATAAAAGAATAGACTTAGGAATCATTCCAGTTTGATATTACTTTTGGTAAACCCAATGCCATTCTCCTGGCAGGGTTATCACTGCAACGAGCACATTGTATACATATATTCCCTAATCGTTGACCAACTGCACTTTCCAAGGCCTTCAAAACAATATCTATCTATCTTTCAAATTTAGCAGCAGCTCTATGTAATCTATTCATTCATTTGGCTTTTATTTCAGTCCTGTCGGGGGGTCTAATCGAAACTGCAAGGTAATCTCTCTGAACTTAGGGGAATGATACTCGTACTTACTATTGTTTATAATCCAGTTTAGACCAGAGCATAAATCATTGATTTTGTGTGCCAGTCAATAAATAATCCACTTAATCAAACAAACGGTAAAAACCAGAATTGAATTAAGCTTTATCAATATGTCTGATACTCTTAGAGAGATTTCCGAATCGTTAGGGTATTTAAAGTGGTTTAAAGTATTGCATATTTTATGCTGCACAGCGATTTGGATAAGACTTTGAATCTTTATCGTTGTAAATATTCGATTCAAACTACTTTCGTTTATTTTCCCATGCCTCATTGGTTTTTTCCCACCCAGAAGGAAAGTACTTAATAATCGTTCAATTATTTTCGTTTCATTATTTAAAATTTTGCACTCCGATTAGATATTCCCATTGATTGATGATAGTAATATACCAAAGTATTTATCGTTTTACGCACTCTATTCTTTGTTCGGAGAAAATCGTAATATCATTGTGACATTATCAGAAATAAAAGTATATTTTACGATACTTATATTTTTTATGAATGTAGGTGTAGAACCCAAATAATGGGATGAGATTTCTCTCTGAGGTATTTATAATGGCTCGTAACACTTACTCGATGACGCTACAAAATATTTTGTTTCCGATTTCCGGTACATATTTATGGTATGTTGTTTCTTTCGGTCGATGGGATACTTGTCTGGGTTACACTTTCAAACACATCACCTCCTCCGGGTTCTACTCACCGCAGTCTTCGAATGGCAGCGACCTGAGTGACAGATACTTCTTGTAGGCGGCATCCGTGGTGTTCCTGATGAGGCCGCCAGCCATTTCGTGGACCGTACAAATGGCCAAGAGTATTTTAAGGTAGTAAACAGTAGCGCCCCGCATGGCTTAATTTGATCGCAACGATTAGAATAAGTGGGTCGTTAAGCTTTTCGCGTATTCGCTTATTCGCGTAGGTGTGCAGAAATTGTTTCGTTTCCAAAATATCAATAACAATAACAAAGAGGATCGATAATGCGGATCACGAACGGTCGGTCAACGGTTTTCTTTGGTCGCAGATACGGACTGCTTCACGGCTAACAGGTAACTGGCACCAGAGCCACCGCCTAATAGTGGCCAGAACGCCCGCTGGCCACTCCGGCTGGTATCTGCCGTGGGAGAGCGCCCTCTCGGGAGCGGCCATAAACTTTGATTTATTGACTGGGAGCTAGCTCTGAGTCTTACTCCTACTCTGACTGATAGTAGCCCGATCGATTCGCCGCCAAGATTTAGATAGAAATGTAGCCGGTGACGTCGTCAAGGGTTTGTTTTGGGATCCGTTGTGACGGGGAATGGGGCCGGGCGACACGCGTAGAAACCCATACGGGAAAAAAATAAATTAAGTGGTTTTGTCGTCGTGTTCGAGTAGATAAAACCAAGATCCACCAGCCGCCACTCGAGTTTAATTGAAAGTTAAAGAACCAAGAGTGTACTATAATTAAATATTATTTGATAATGTCCTCCCCATTCAATATATCAATCCAATCAATTCACAGAAAGCACCGCTCTAGGTGGAAAATTTCGGAATGTGACTCATCGGCGGGGCTATGCGCTGCGCTCTCTCTCACTCAATGATCCCCTTCAGATAGTTGGTGTTCTTGATGACCCGAAAATCAGTGCGCAGCTGAATGAATTGCCTCACCACAGACTTGTCCAGATAGTTCTATATTTGATGGGATGATAAAACGTTAGACAGCCCACAGACGGGGAAACTCAATCGCCACTCACCAAAGTATCGCCCGTACAGACCTCTTGAAGGTTCTGTGGCTTCACCAGCAGCAGATTACACAGGGCGTGGAGTATGTCGAAAAGCTGCGTCACCAGTGCGCTGTCTAGCTCCCTAATGCACTTGCGATACTCGTTCACATCGCAAATGGCGCACATGGCACCGGCCGTATTGAATTGCATTGTCTGCAGGTGATCGTAGATAACACGATGCAGTCGTGTGCCGAATTCTGTGAGAACATTTTGCAAGTTCTCGCCGTCCACGCACTTTTTGATCTGCACTATCACGGGCTGAAGGCTTTGCACCACTTGCAGACAAGCCTAGGGGATAAGATAAGATAAATTATTTATAAAACATTTCACTCATGGATGCACCCTTCTTACAGCTGAGGATATGGTATCGACATCAATCTCTGGCTTGTAGTCGGTTTTCTTTTGCTCGCACTGCAGGTAGACCTTGACCCAGCCAATGACAGCGCTAATAGAACGATCCAGACCCTGATCCAGCTTCGTTTCGATCTGCTCCATCAGTATGCGCTTCTTGAACACGTAGTCCGAATACTTGGCCGTGTTGCTGCAATTAACAAATAGGGTTTTTAGGGCACTCTAGTATATGGTATATGATGATGCACGCTCACCTCACACAAGGTATTACTGAGCTGTTGCACAACTTATCCAGCAGATGCACAATTATGTTTGTCTTTTGCACCACATCAAAAAAATAGAGCTGCGGGAATACCTTGCCCTCGGCCAGTGGAACTGCCTGGAGGCCCAGCTCCAGGGCATAATCCACATGCTCGTGCATCAGAAAGCGCAGCAGAATGTCATTCAGCTTAATGGCATTGGCGGGCAGCTCGGCCTCGGTGGAAAGTAGGCGACAGCGCTTCAATGCGGCCTTGGCCTCTTGCAGCATATTGATGGCCAGCTCCTCGGAGAGAAACGTCTCGCCGCCATAGTCCTCGATGGCGGCTATGTTGATGTTCGCCCGCGTGGCAATCAGCACCTCCATGTTGCGACGAAAACCCTTGGTGGTCTGCGTCTTCTGATGCTTCTTGCTGGCATAAAATTTCTCCAGTTCCGATGAGCATTTGGCTGTCAGGCATTTAGTTTCCATTTCGGCATAGCTGGCCAGATTCTTCATGAAAATCTGTTGCGTTAGCTTCTGCAGCAGATCATCATCGATGGTGGACATGTAGATTTGCAAATCGGTGGAGAGTTTCAAAGTGCTGCAATGGGAAATATTAGACTATGCAACTGGCTGCTATTGGTTGGATATTTTACCGTGAATACAGTTCGTAGAGTGTGCGCAGGTACTTCTCCTCATCCTTTTTGTCCTCCAGCTTGGTCATTGCATACTGATGCAGCTTCAGCTGATAGATGTTCAGTATGAACTTGGACATGACCTGCTGTGGGTTGGCAAACACTTTCTTGATGATCTCATAGTGATGCTTGCACAGCGGCACAATCCCAATGAATATGTCCTTGCCGCTGTACGGCTGCATCTGACTCTGCTCGATGTAAGCGTCCACGCACTGTGCGTAGCCCTTGAATTGGGAGAGTATCTGCGCCAGTGCCTTCATTCGCTCAATATCCTCGCTCTTCTGGGCAGTGGCAAACTCTTCGATCAGTCGTCGTTCGACTTCATCGTATTTCTTTTCTATTTTACGCTTGGACTCGGCAAATTTACCCGGCGGCAGATCCTGCGAGATGGCATACAGCTTCTGTATCACATCCGCTGCCTCGCTCAGACGAGCTGCATCCGTAAAAATGTCGTTAACTATTACGGGGCCGGCGGCCAGAAATTCGGACATAAAATTAAGCAGCTTCTGCGCCTCCACGGACCGACTGCGCGGCGTGTTCACGTTCTCCAGCTGTTCACCCAGATGCATGATCTTCCCCGCCACCGAGTTGATTTTCTCATCCAGCTGTCCAAACCAATCAATGGCCGTTTGATGACGCTCCTGCAGCTTGGAGATTTTCTTTGCATGCGACTCCTTCTCCTGGCGCAGTGACTCCTCGAGTCGCTCGCACTTGCCCTGCTGTTTCTCCTGCAGTATCTTCAGGTCCTTGATTGTCTGTATAAAGGTGTCGTGCAGGGCCACAGGACTAAATTCGCTGTTCTGCAGTTCATTGTTGGTGCGCCAGGTCAGGCGTTCTATGAATTCGCCCACCTCAAAAGGCTCCTGGCATGGACCAAAAGGTCATCAGTATAACTATGTTTCATGTTCAACTTCACTCACCTGCTCAAACTCCTCCATGTACTGGGACAGCATAATAATATTAATAATAAGAAAGTGTGGGCGTTCTTTTGTTGCTTTCAGTGTGACCGCGGCGATAAGATATACGGTCTGACCCTCAGTAATATACCGAAACATACCGCCTCATTTTCAAAATATACCGTAAATATACTGACGAATTCAAGTTCTATTATACATATTCCTCGATTTTGATATTCCGTGGAATATTACCAGCTATCTGGATCTCTCAGCCCTGCCCATTTAATTTTATCCAAATAATGAATCTATTTTCTATTTGACGAGGTTATTCTAAATACTTGCTATTGTATGAATCTTGTCCAAAAAAGGTTTAAAAAAAATGGTCAAACAAAAAAAAACGAAAGAGATAGTCGTTCATATTGCTCAATTTAGAGATTCCGTCAAATATAATTAGCTAGATAGAATATTTGGCCATGCCCACATAGTTTTTTACGATTAATGAATCAATTTTCTACTTGACTGGCCTATTCTAAATACTTGCTTTTATTGGATTTCTATATACCGTTGAAAATGAAATTTAATAGAATGGGTTCTTCCTCTTTCTCAAGTTTCTTTTTGGTCGAGAATCAGCTGTTTTCAGCGTTGCCACACTGCTGGTCTTTTCACACACTGGCAATATCAGAATTTAAATATATCTGCCGCCCGTTATTTATTATTCAAAATTCCACTTTTTTATGCTTTTCTTAAAGATTTACTATAAAATAAATGCGCGCTCCCTTACTTATGTAACTTATCAACACCGTGTCTTATATCTTTTACAGCAAATTGCAATGTGCTAAACAATTTAAAATTTCAAAAACATTTATATATTGATATAATCATTATAATTATTGCGTGGAGTCTGCATTTTATTTAACTTTAGTTACAGTTTTGAACTGAAATATGAAAATTTGAAAAACCTAGAACATATTTTTTTCGTTTTTGTTTTTGTTAGCGAGAAAATTTAATTCTTTCTTACAAACGCATTTGTGGCTGCGGATCTTGGCTGTGCATTGACTGATGATGCTGCTGCTGTTGCTGCTCCATTTGCTGTTGCTGCAGATGTAGATGTGGATGTGGGTGGGTCGTCTGCTGACTACTGGCTGATGTTGAGGGCAGCTCCAGGGCATGCGGCACTATCGTCGCACCGCTGGTGATGTTGATGGCATTGGCGGTGCTGGCCGAGGAGGCCAGCTCGTACATTGCGCTGCTCGGCACTTCCGGTATCGAGGGATTTGTCTCCACCAGCTGTTGCAGATTTTTAAGCTCCGTTGACCGCAAACTCGCGGACAGGCTCTCACTCGATGCCAATGAGGTGGACAACGGAGAGTTGCGTTCTGTGGAAGAGGCAATGTCTGAAGGGCGGTCTTTTGTTAGCTTAGATTCTTGCCACATGCTGTGGGTACGCGAAACACTCACCAGTTCTGTCTGTGTCCGGAGAGCAGGTATTGTGTCCCACGGTTCCCTGGGGCTGTTGCATCATCATTATTAGCTTCTCCTCCATCTGCATGATGATTTTCTTCTGTACATCGTATTTCTTGTTCACTGCCTGAAAACGACACGACACACAATATAAATTTAAAGATCTTTCAATATAGAACAGCTGAGCGCACCTTGAACTTTTCCTCATACTCATCCTTGACAGTGCTCAGGAGTCGTTTCTGCTCCGTCATGGCCTTCTCGCTGTTGGTCAACTGTGCCTGCAGATCGCTAATCCTATGCTTCATGCTCTCCAGCTGTGATGTCTTCTCGTCCAGGCTGTGCCTCAGATCTGTTAAATGTTAAAAATGAATTCAAGAAAAAGGCCTACAACGATGAGAAACCTGATTCATACCCTTCTGCTCCAGATGACTGCTCTCTTGGAGCATTTGCAGCTCCTCGTCGCGTGCTCGATAGTTGTCAATCTCGGCTAGACGATCACGACATCGCACTTGGACCTCACCCATGATGATGAACTCGGCCTCGAGGCGGGCCAATTCTTGCTTGCATTGCAGTCCGAGATCTGCTTGGAGCTGAGCATGTTGCAGCTCTGTACTAAGGCTGAACACCTGACCACGCAGTGACTCCAGCTCGTACTTCATCT